TATTCTATTCTATTCTATTCTATTCTATTCTATTCTATTCTATTCTACTCTACTCTACTCTACTCTACTCTACTCTACTCTACTCTATTCCTGATTCTATTCCTGATTCTATTCTATTCTATTCTATTCTAATTCTCGATTCCATTCCATTCCACTAAATGGCCACTAAATGAACTGTTGTAAGTTGAGGACTGCCTGTACTGAGCTGTTCAAAATGCAGGGGTTAAGACGGGCCATCTTCAGCCAGACTGAGGACACTGAAAAAAATCGAGCCGAGAATTGGAAAAGAGCCGAAGGCAACGCCTGTTTGGTGAGATGGTTTGCCGAAGGCACGAAAGAGACGAGGAGGAACCGATTGGGCTGGCCGGCTCATTCATCCACTCTGACGGGCCTGCCCAAAGGCAGGAATTTGGAGGATTCTGGCCAGCGGATCTCCTCCCACCTTTGGAGAGGAGGACTGCCACCTCCGCAGGTGTCCTAAATGCAAAACTTCCGCTTTACAGCTGCCTGGGTTACGCTTGCTTTCACCTGGAAGGGAGCGCCTAACGTGCAACTGGGTGTGAATGGGCATCGGTGTGTGCTGCAGGGTAGCAACGAGAAGCTGGAAAGGAAAACCAATTAGTGAGCCCTTCCCCAACAATAACCCGCCGGCTGCTAATTGAGACACCAGTGCTGAAGGAGGGGGAAAAAAATGAATAATTCTCCCGAGCCGAAGATCCTTGGTAAACAAAGTCCAGCCAACTTGCAGACGGTAAGCAAGAAGGAAGAAAGCAACGAGAGGAAGGGTGGTTGGTTGGGTTTAATTTCCTCACTGGCAGTTTTGCCACCTTCCAGAAGCAGCTGGTAGGTGGGCAATCTTTTGATGTGTTTTCAGGAGCTGAGGCAGTGAGGGAATGTGCCAAAACAAGTTTGTGGGTCTTTGTGGAAAATGCAACTTTGTTTTAGGGGAAGGGGGCGGGGGGCTTTGCTTGTTGTAGATATTGTGCAAGTCAGTGGATGGAGATCGCACAACGCACTAAGAAAAGGATCTGTTGACTACCAAACACAGAAACTAAACAAACAAACAAAAAACCCATAAAAGAACATTAACAAAATTGTTCCTTAAGGTAGTAGAGGAGTTGAGTATTCAAGATATAAGGAGAGAGAATTGAATGGCAAAAGTAGACAATTCACATTTTACTCAAATAGGCACTTATCGCGGTCAAGAACAGACATGATTTGGGTGTCAACAGACTTAATTCCTAACAGGCAGGAAGCGAATATTGACATAAGCCCTTGGGCTGATCATAATCCAATAAGGGTCAAATGGAAGGGCCAGAGGAAGAGATCAAGCTGGACTTTGAATAATTCGATCTTGAAAGAAAAAGGATGTATTGATAATATAGAAAAAGAATTGGCCGCCTTCTTTAAAAAAAATAAATCGGAGACAACCTCATTACAAAATGTGTTGGACACTATGAAAGTGTATACTAGAGGTGTGTTATAGCATATACAAGAAGAAGAAGGAACATTAAACAGAGACAAATACAACAGACCTTAGAAGGAGACTACAAGAAACTGGAGGAGTTACAATCTCCACAACATAGAAACATTAAAAGTCAAATGGATATAATCAAACATAGAATAGGATTAATGGAAAAAAGAAGAACTGGCTCAAAAGATTAGAGGAGTCAAACAGAACTATTTTAAAAAGAAAAGGATTTGTCAACTGCAGCGGCTTTAAGATAGGTTAGGGTTAGGGTTAGGGTCAACTCCCAGAATTCCCCAGCCAGCATGTGAAGTGCTAATACGCTTTATCAGGCTTGATAATACTTAGAATAACAGAGTTGGAAGGGACCTTGGAGGTCTTCTAGTCCAACCCCCTGCTCAGGCAGGAAACCCTGTAGCATTTCAAACAAATGGCTATCCAATCTCTTCTTTAAAACTTACACTGTTGGAGACAGTGAAGAGCAACCAGAGTGATTAGGGGACTGGAGGCTAAAACATATGATGAACCGTTGAAGGAATTGGGTATGTCTAGTCTAGTGAAAAGAAGGACTAGAGGTGATATTTCTAATATTTGAGGGGCAACCACAGAGAAGAGGGGGTCAACCTATTCCCCAAAGCACCTCAAGACAGGACAAGAAGCAATGAATGGAAACTAATCAAGGAGGGAAGCAGTTTAGAATTAAGGAGAAATTTCCTGACAAAACAATTAATCAGTGGAACCGCTTGCCACCAGAAGTTGTGGGAGCTCCTACACTGGAGGTTTTTAAGAAGAGAATGGATAGTCATTTGTCTGGAATTGCATAGGGTCTCCTTCCTGAGCAGGGGGTTAGACTAGAAGACCTTTGAGGTCCCTTCCAACTCTGTTAATTCTCTTAAGTCCACCCATCTTAAAAGTTGCTGAAGTTGCTGAGCCCTGCACCAAGCCATAAATTGTGATTTATAAGATATACTTAGATTCCATATGGACTAAGTTAAAACCAGACAAACTCAGTTCTTCATGAAAGGGAAGATAGGCAAAGAAACTGTGATATGTTCTATATGCAACAGTCTGCATATACGTGGATAGGTTGGTGCCGCATCCTAAACCAGGATATTTCAAAGGCATGGTTAGTGGTATCATTCACACTAAGCCCCAAACAAGCCAAACTCCATTATAGCTTCTCAGGGCGTGTGTGAAACATGGGGGCCTATTCCATAAATCAAAGATTAAAAAATGGCTTTGCACAATGCGAATCCATCCACTCTGGATTCTAAACTATGGATTGATAAGCATGTCATGGCAATCCAGTAAAATGGTGGCTTATTTTGACAAAGAAGGGTGAGGCCAGTGATGACATAGTATACCACATGAAGTCAATGTGTGGCTGGGTCAACCAGAAATGGTGGCATAGTCAGAGATGTGAATCCAATCTTTATGGATCCTTGAGTAGAAGTTCTACTTCTCTTGTTGGTACCACCACAACCAAATTGTGGTGTTCCCACTCAAGGGAAACCCACCTCACTTCCTTATTAGGAAAGTGCTGCAATTCGTTGATGTGAGATAAGAGTCTTTCTTGAAAGTTCTCAAGGGCAAAAACATGGAAGTGGTTTACTCCTCTTCCTTCTGGGAACTTTTAGTGATTTACTTCCCAATCTAGTCTACCTCCCAGGGATTGCCTGGTGGTGTCCTTTCCAGATGCTAACTAGGTTTAATGTTGTTTAGAATTTTGAAAATTGCTGGGCTCAGGTAGGGATTGTTACATGGCCTAACTGAGGGGCCTCAAACTTGACACCTTTAAGACTTGTGGACTTCAACTCCCAGAATTCCTCCTCCAGTCATGTTAGCTCAGGAATGCTGGGAGTTGAAGTCCGCAAGTCTTAAACTTGCCAAGTTGGAAGACCCTTTCCTGTTCTCTCAACCATAGAAACTTTAAAACCCCAAGAATTCCTCATCCAGCAAGTTCTTTTCCTTGATTAGTTTTCCACCTGTTGCTTCTTGTCCTGCCTTCAGAATTCAAATGCTTTGGAGAATAGCTTGACTCCCTCTTCTTTGGGGCAGCCCTTCAGATATTGGAAGACTGCTATCATGTCACCCTAGTCCTTCTCTTCGTTAAACCAGACATACCCAATTCCTGCAACTGTCCTTCATAGTATGTTTTAGCTTTAGGTTCTAAGACTCTTCTAGAAGGTCAGAAGGGTGGAGGTAGGCCTCACTGTAGGAGGTAAGATGGTCCAGAAGTCAGGCACCACAACAGAGAAGCTTCTCCTAAACCCTGCTACCAAATTCCTTGGGTGATAGGTCTGGAGAAAACCAACGCAAGTAGGGCAGGCCAAGTCCACAGGAGGGCTTATGTTCGTAGACCTAGAAGAACCAAGGAGAACTGCTTTAAAACAATGTTCACTGGGACGCAGTGGCTCAGTGGTTAAGACTCTGAGCTTGTTGATTAGCAAGGCTGGCAGTTCGGCGGTTCGAATCCCTAGTGCCACGTAACAGAGTGAGCTCCCCTTACTTGTCCTTAACCTAGCAGTTCGAAAGCACATAAAAAAATGCAAGTAGAAATATAGGGACCACCTTGGTGGGAAGGTAACAGCGTTCTGTGCCCCTTTGAAGGTGTTTAGTCATACCGGCCACATGACCATGGAGACGTCTTCGGACAGCGCTGGCTCTTCGGCTTTGTAACGGAGATGAGTACCGCCCGCTAGAGCAGGAAACGACAAGCACACATGCGCAAGGGGAACCTTTACCTTTACCTTATTATTGATTAAAATGCTTTGTTAACTAGATTGTTGTGGCTGTCCCTGCTCTTTCTAGTCTCAAAATTGAGATGTGGCGTATCTTCTCCTCCCTTTTCTCATCTGCAGTGCCAAATAATTGAGTTAAATGTTGGTGGGGAGATCTTCACAACCATGTTGAGCACTCTGAAGAGGTACCCAGGATCCAAATTGGCTGAGATGTTCAGTCAGGCTATACCCCGAACAGATTCGGCGGGACGATTCTTCATAGACCGGCCGGGGACTTATTTTAAATACGTCCTTGAGTATCTGCGTAGTGATCAGGTCCCCTTGCAACACGTTGAGGAGGTTTATAAGGAAGCCACCTACTATGACGTCAAGCCTCTGATCAAGCAACTGGAAGAGTCTCCTCAGATCTTTGGTGAGCTGGTGGCCAGGAAGCAGTTCCTGGCTCGGGTGCCCAACTATTCTGAAAGCATCGAGCTCATGATCCGAATCGCCCGGGCAGAAGCTGTGGCCTCCCGTCAATCCAGCGTTATGCTCTGCGTGATGAAGACTTTGGAAGATGTGGCGAAGTGTGGCGATGCTCTCAGCAGCTTAGATGTCTCCAAGAAATCTGTGGTCCAGTTTGGCCCGTGGAAAGCTGCCCCAAACGTTCAGGATCTCCTGGACTGCATCAAGATGGACATAGAAGCCAAAGGTTACAAGACGTCTTTCCAGAGCTACGTTCCAGAAAAAGGCTTTCGTTTCAAAGCCAATGACTTCTTCTACAAGTTTTTGTTCCATTGGTGGTAGCCCAAAGCTCATAACTCATAATATCTTGAAGCAGGGGTGGGATTCAATTTTTTTTACTACCGGTTCTGTGGGTGGGTGTGGCTGGATACTGTAAAATCTCCAGTCAGAGGTGGTGTTTGCCGGTTCTCTGAACTACTCAAAATGTTTGCTACCGGTTCTCCAGAACTGGTCAGAACCTGTTAAATACCACCTCTGGCTAGATAGATGATAGATAGATAGACGAGGAGGAGGAGGAGATAGATAATTAGATAGATAGTTGATAGATAGACAGTCGGTTGGATAGACAGACGGACAGACACAGAGATAAACAGATAATTAGATGGATAGAGAAAGATAAATGGATGGATGGATGGATAGATAATAGAGAGATGATAGATAGATAGATAGATAGACAGACAGACAGACAGACAGACAAGGAGGATGAGGATGAGATAGACAACTAGATAGATAGTTGATACAGATAAATAGATAGACAGACAGACAGACACAGAAAGAAGCAGACAGACAATTAGATGGATAGAGAAAGTTAAATAGATGGATGGAAGGATGGATGATAGAGATAGCTAGATACAGTGGTGGGATTCAAATGTTTTTACTTCTGGTTCTGTGGGCATGGCTTGGTGGGCGTGGCAGGGGAAGGATACTATAAAAATCTCCAGTCAGAGGTGGTTGCTGGCTCTCTGAACTACTCAAAATGTTTGCTACCGGTTCTCCAGAACTGGTCAGAACCTGCTGAATACCACCTCTGTCTTGAAGGTCTCTTGGGTAGCTTCCCCAGCATTGGGCTACATAAAGGCAGAAGATCCCTCCAGAGGTCTGCTGAATTTTAGCAGTCTAGGATCTCTAAACTTTGCTCCTTGTCTGGTGTTTGAGATCTTTTGAGAACAATTGGATTTTGGTGGGCATTCTCATAAAAGCAGGAAACAGGCCAACAAGAAAATGAGGGTTTATCTGTGTAAATGTCTATGGACATTTTCAGTCATCCAGGTCAGGGTTGTCTCAAAAGTGCTTTTTCAAGACCCAGCTGAACTTTCTGATTTTTCTTTGAAGACGTTTCACTTCTCATTTTGGACAGAGAGGACCACTTTAGGCATAAAAGCCAGCTGGGTAACTTTGGGCCAATAACCAGGAGACTGAGTTCTAGTCCCGCCTTAAGCATGAAAGCCAGCTGTGTGACTTTGGGCTAATCACCAGGAGATTGTGAGTTCTAGTCCTACCTTAGGCATGAAAGCCAGCTGGTTAACTTTGGGCCAATCACCAGGAGATTGTGAGTTCTAATCCTGCCTTAAGCAAGAAAGCCAGCTAACTGACTTTGGGTGGGTCAATCTCTCAGGCGGGTCTTTGGGTGAGTCAATCTCTCAGGCGGGTCTTTGGGTGGGTCAATCTCTCAATCTCTAATCCCCTCAGAGAGTTTTAGTTGTGGGGTAAATAGGAGGAACAAAACGTGTTGGATATGTTGATCACCTGGAGTTGTTTGTAAAAATAATAAAGGAGGGATGTAAATAAATACTGACTTTTGTCTGTGGATATTCTCGGTCATCCAGGTCCTGGTTGCCTCAAAAGTGCTTTTTCAAGAAGCAACTGGACTTTCTGGTTTTTCTTTGAAGACGTTTCGCTTCTCATCCAAGAAGCTTCTTCGGCTCTGAGAGAATGGTGAAGAGCGGAAGCATTTATAGGCCTTGCAGACAGCTGGAGTATAAATCCTTCCATTCCCCACTATCCTGTCAGAACTGAAGAGGCTTCTTGGATGAGAAGCAAAATGTCTTCAAAGAAAAAACAGAAAGTCCAGTTGCCCCTTGAAAAAAAAAGCACCTTTAGGACTTTTGGTTCAGCACCTTAACCCAGCGTTTCTCAACCTTAACAAATTCAAGAAAATTCAAGAAAACCAAAAGCCAAGTCAGTGTAAAAAAAAGAAAAAAGCTGACTTGCTCCAGTGCAAAACAACCATGAGGCCAGCAAATACAGTACCAGGAAATAAATCGAGGCATGTGACTTGTTCAAACATTCCTAAAGGACAAGGATACAATTGTTGTCCTGAGTTAAAATAATGTACATACAGACCAAGACAACAGCAATCTTTTACAGGTAGTCCTTGATTTACAATCATTTGTTTATAGTGACAACGGAACATTTGAAGTAACAATGGAATGGGAAAAAGTGATTTATGATTGTCACACTTATGACTGTCCCAGCATCCCTGGGACCGTGTCATCAAATTTCAGAGGCTTGGCAACTGTCTGGTATGCTTTTATTGAAATTGTTGGCATCAATTATGGTTGTAATTTGAGGATTACCTGCATAAGCTTGGCAAGTAAAAGTCCACACATAAGTTATAGGGTAAATCCACTTCAACTGCATGTCTTTACCAGCTGTCTTTGGAGTGGATTTTCAGGAAGGAAATCAAGTTGATAGATGGATGGATGGATGGATGGATGGATGATAGATGGATGATAGTTGATAGACAGACAAATAGATATAGAGGATAGGT